ATATATCTGAGCATAACGTGATAAGGTGAAAAAAAAGAGTGAAAAAATTTTTGACTAATAGAAAAACATAATCGAGAAATTATAATCATATAAAATTATAACAAAATTATAACAGACGACATAAGACATAATAACACAACGTAACAACCTCTTCGGACATTGGATTCAAAAGTGCTGTAATTAAGAGACATCGATACAACAAACTGTTATTTCTTGGAACTTGGAACCTGAATATAATTAACCAAACACAGAAAAACAAAACACACAGCCATAAACACACGATGGCGCATTACTCCAGGTCCCCACCCACAGGACCAGACCTCCCCTAGTCTCCGCCTCCTCTAGCTACGGGCTATAGTCCTTCGACCCACTTCGCCTTTGGGACGTTTTCGAGTTTTTATTTTGAAATCTTTTATAAGGATCACCGTAGACCTGAGACCGTCATTCTTGTCTATTTCTTTTTCTCCCTTTTATTGGTTGTCCCGTTTGTTTCTTCCGATCTTTTATCTACAGACGACTAACTTCTTTTGGTTTCTATTTCCGCCTGTCCTCCGACGTACTCCGACAACAGCAACCTACCACCCATAAGTTAGGTGCAGAGAAATTAAGAGAGAATGACTATCGACGTGTGTCCGTGATGCATTCGTAAAGACGTAAGAATTCCATAGTTTACTGTTAAAACCTTAAAACCTTAATAATTTCCAACACACCAACGACTGGGATAGACGAACAGTGTCGTGCTGTATACCTGAAAGGAAATAGCGAGTGGTAACATAATACCTGAGCTCTCTAATGGTTTGTTTGTCTACTGTAATGAAGGTCTTGACCTGAGTATCAAGATAAAAAAGAAGACCAAAAGGCGACCTTAACGGACAAGGGAGAAAACCCATGAAAGATTTCACAGGAAAATACAAATGTGGAAGCAGTTACCAAAGGAGAAAGACAAAGTAGTTCGGCGAATCGCGCGAAGTTTACTGTCACATTCCACAATAGCGTAAACGAAATAAATAAAATTGAATGTCAGTAAATGAACAAACCGAAGTGTACTACCTGAGCGCAAAGTGTTATTTTAATTATGAAAGGTGTGGTAAGGGTTTTTTTATTCGGAAAGTGTTGTCAGGTTGTTAGTTTTTGTTTCCCGACGACAGAGCGCCGTCACCCAATACATCAAGAAATATCAGACGCTGATCTCGCCAGTACAAACACTGTTGTGCAACGAAAAAGCGAAATTTATTGTTTTCTGAGCTGCAGTATAAGAACCACAAAAATTGAAAATCCTGAAATACTGAAATCCCCACAGGCACTTGTCCGGGGAGGTTTATTTACAAGAATAATAAACAAATAATAACAGAGGAAGGAGTCACGAAGAGTGGCCAAATCCGTCCGAGCGGACCAGTACAGGAGCATCGCGAGGAGACGCCGGGGGTGTCCCTACCAAGTCAGCAGGTCCCCGCGACCAGTGGGGCAGGCGACCATCACACGACCACACCCTCCCTACAATCCGGGACACCCGCAGTCCACCACCACTACCACCACCGACGAAAATTCTCTCCTGATAATTTTTTTTTGCTAATCACCTGTCATTGGAGGGTGAGAGAGACCAACAAGAGAACATGAATAAACTTTTGTCGCACCCCAGTGTTGTAGGACAATGAGAGAGTATAAGACAAGTTACAATCTTTGTACGTCTACACGGGAATGATATATTAGATAATAGATAAATAATTACTAAGTAGCAGATGAATGTTCAGTTGTTTAACAGTCTTATTGCCTGTGGGATGAAGATGTCTCTAAATCTGGTGGTTTTAGTCCTGATGCTGCGGTACCGCCTGCCAGACGGCAGCAGACTGAACAGTTTGTGGCTGGGGTGATGGGGGGCTTTTATAATCCTGAGGGATTTCTTCCTGAGCCGCTGGGAGTAAAGGTACTCCATGGATGGCAGCTCCGTCCTGGTGATGTGCTCTGCAGTTTTCACCACCCTCTGTAAAGCCTTACGATTGAGGGCGGTGCAGCTGCCGTACCAGGCCGTGATACAGCCAGTCAGGATACTCTCTATGGTGCACCTGTAGAAGGTCAGGATCCTCTCTATGGTGCACCTGTAGAAGTTGCAGAGTATCCTGGAGTCAATTTTGAACATCCTCAGCCTGCGGAGGAAGAAGAGCCGCTGTCAACCTTTTTTGGTGATGGTGGTGTTGTGAAGAGTCCATGTCAGGTCCTCAGTGATGTGGACACAGAGGAACCTGAAGCCGCTGATTCTCTCCACCGTAGTCCCATTGATGGCGATGGGGGCGTGTCCCTCTCTCTGCTGCTTCCTGTAATCCACAATCAGCTCCTTTGTTTTGCTGACGTTGAGATGGAGGTTGTTATCCTGGCACCAAGATGTCAGGTTTTCAACCTCCTCTCTGTACGCCATCGGTGATCTGGCCGATGACGGTCGTGTCATCAGCAAACTTCATGATTGTATTGGACTTGTGTGTGGCCATGCAGTCGTTAGTGAACAGGGAGTAGAGGAGAGGGCTGAGCACGCAGCCTTGAGGGACTCCGGTGTTGAGGATGTGATGTTTCCCACCCGCACTGCCTGGGGTCTCCCCGTCAGGAAGTTCAGGATCCAGTCACAGAGGGCGCTGTTGAGCCTGAGGTCTCTGAGCTTGATGACCAGCTTGGAGGGCACAATGGTATTGAAGGCTGAACTGTAATCAATGAACAGCATTCTCACATACGTATGTATGTGTTCCTCTGGTCCAGGTGTGAGAGGGCAGTGTGGATGGTGAGGGCTATGGCGTCGTCTGTGGACCTGTTTGCTCTGTAGGCAAACTGCAGGGGGTCCAGAGAGTCAGGGAGGGAGGAGGTGATGAATGATTTGACTAACCGCTCAAAGCACTTCATTATAATGGAGGTGAGTGCCACTGGGCGGTAGTCATTGAGGCGAGTAATTTTTGTCTTTTTGGGGACAGGAACGATGGTGGAGTGTTTGGAGCATGTGGGGACTACAGACTGCACCCTGAGAACACGGCCAGGGGTGCCATCAGGTCCAGGAGCCTTGTGTGGGTCAACCCTTTTAAAGGATTTGCACACATCTGCCCTGTTTTAAACAAAAGGGCAGGGCTCCTGATCCCTCTCTGCACCCCCAGCCTGGCTGCTCTCGAAGTGAGCAAAAAGCTGTTCAGCTCATCTGGGAGCGATGCGCAAGCAGACACTACCGCAGCACCCCCCGCTGCTCCTTTGTAGTCTGTCATTGTTCTTAGTCCCGCCCACATGTTCCGGGTGTTACAGCCTTTGAAGTCAGACTCCACCTTCTCTTTGTACTGTCTCTTTGCATTGCTGATTGCTCTCCGGAGTTCATACCTAGAAAACCTGTACTCCTCCTAATCTCCAGCTCTGTGCGCGATAGTGCACGCTTTCAGCTTGGTACGAACCTCGCCGTCTATCCAGGGCTTTTGATTTGGGAATGTTCGTACAGAAACCTTCGTTACCATGTCATCGATGCATTTCCAAATGTAGCAGATGACCGTGTCCGTGTGTGTGTTGATGTTATTGTCCTCAAACACACTCCACTCCGTAGATTCGAAGCAGTGCTGCAGAGCTGAATCTGACTCTTCACTCCATCGCTGTACAACCCTTGGTTCCGGTCTGTGCCGTTTAAAGGTGACCTATCATGCAAAATGCACTTTTGTACGTCTTTTATACATGAATATGTGTCCCCTGTGTTCCAGGGAACTCACCAAGTGTCAGAAAACACAACCCTCTCTATTTTCCTCCATACCCAAATCTCTTAAAAAGGGGCTGCAACGGATCTGATACAGACTGATCCAGATTTGAACACTTCTATGACGTCACAGAAGTGGCGCTACGGCTATTGGGCCAACTCCACCAATCAGGAGGAGACAGCCACGGACAATGCCGTTCGAAAGCGCTGGAGACGCTGTAGTACATATGCCAGGCCTGTAGATGGTGCTGTTCTCACAGAATCAGCCCATGCAAAGACAGTGTTAAATTGAGCGAAATGAGGAATGGCTAAAATGCATGATCTGTTTGGTATTTTGAAAAATAAAAAGTATAAATATGCCTTATATAGGTATGGTCCTACACTATATTATTCAAATATAGCATGATAGGTCCACTTTAAACATTAACTGTGTATAAATAGAGAATATCATCTTTATTTTATGCCGTGAGTATACAACTTTTAACTGTTTAATATTGGACTATTAAAATATGTCCTTTGCATAATGGTGAAATTCAATAAGCATCAAAGAGGTTTCTTCAAACCAGACTCACAAAAACCAGTTTGGCTGTAAACATGTCTATAGCTCAGTTCACAAAGTAACCACTGAGTGGCACTGCAACAGATAAGAGAGAGGACTGAGAGCAGGTGTATTACATCATGGAAAACAAGGCAAGATGCCTTCCCTTCATTAATAAATAGATAATATGCTGAAATGATGATATTTTGTTCAGCAAATAAGGACAGACTGACTTAATAACAGAAGAATATGTGCTCTGTCTTATTTTATTGTAGCTTGTTTTCCCCTATGGCCTAATGAATAAACTCGCCTCATGTTCGACTCTCTTTCAATTACTTAGTTTGTGCTACAGATCTGAAATGTCTTTTCACCTTTGCACTGTGGTTTATGTTTGTACTTCATAGCACAATGCGTGGAGTAAAAAACAAGAATCTTAATCCAAAGCATAAACCAAAGCAAATTCCTAATATGTGTAAACCTACTTGGTAAATAAAACCGATTCTGAAAGTATGAAGCACTTGTGTGTAGTTGCAATTTCGTAGTCCCATCTGGTCACCACACATATTTGTGTTGAGCAAAAGAAATCATGAATCAATGTGAAAGAGGGAACTACTTCTTCAGCAAATACAGTTGATATTTTTATTTATCTGGTTAAACATCCAGGCAGAATGTTCTCAGCCACAACGTTATTTCATACAAATGTTGGTTTTACCATTGCCTCGGGATCGGAGAAGGTGTTGTTGAGGTCTACTGTCTCCAGCTGGGCTGGGGTGCTGCAGGGAGACATCAGACATAACATAAAGTCAAAATATATATATATTTTCAAAATTAAAACACCAAAATCGATATATTATAGGACATGTGTATTACTTGATATTAAGTGAAGCATAGCGGAGGGTAGCCCCTTGAAACGCCTTCAGACTGGGATCTGGATAGACTGGATAGTCCTTCAGCTCCTGGAGCCAAACAGACATTCAGAGAGAGAGACATTAGTGACAGAGACTGGTGAGGGAATTTAGAAAATAACAAAGAGACAGATATTAATATGCATTGTACCAAGTTATTTGATCTTAATCCTCATTTTAAATTAGTATAAGTGATATTCATCTCTGTTGAATATGCACCTCAGACTGGCCCTGCTTGAGATTCACTGTGGGCTCATTTCAATCTAATAAATGCAGCAGTGAACGCAGAGATATATCGACTACAGTCACACCATTAGGCTTTTAGAGGATAATGCATACGTAAGACTTTTATGCAAAGTGCAACTGAGATGAACCAGAGCTGAAATAAAAGCTATAAAAAGCTACATGTGGTGCTACCATCATCATGTAATGTCAGAGAATCCTTTGTTATGTTTTTAATAGTGATTGTACAACTGTGGAGCAGTTGTTGGTTATGGATTAAAAGGCTAAAATGGAGTTAACTTAAACCATTAATATATATGACAGCAATGTATTTGAACTTCTACAGAGAGGGAAGCAATTTTGATTAAAGCTGCAAGCAACAACAAACAGTTCCTCACACAACCATGTGTGCTGGGGGAACTGGTGGGATGCCAACTTCCTGACAAATTAAACAAAATGGCTGTGACACAAAGGCGCTCCATGAAAACAATAGATTTGAATTACTTTTCATTTTCAGTGTCTTCAGATTGTGCTGAACGAATGTGAAGTTGATTGGATTTGATCTGAAGGAGGAGTTTATTAAAAACACCCATGGCTCCTTCGTTAAAGTTTGGTAGTGGGTGCAGATGAGGTGCACAATCTCACTCGCATTCTAAGGGTTCAGGTCAATATGTTACGTGATTGCTGCCCATGTTGAATCTCATCATCTGTCATTGTGAATCATTTTCTGTACTGAATTGTACACCCAGGTTAATGTGACTCTGACTCACACTGGCTGCGCAGGAGGTGATGTTGAGATTTGGTCCAGATGAGATGACATCATCGTAGGGGGTGGAGGAGCAGGAGGAGGGGGAGGAGCCAGAGGGGGAGGGCACCGGCTCCACCGAGCTGCCAGATATCAGACTGCTGGGGCGCTGTGGCAGAGAGAGGCGGGATAAAGATAAGATGGACAGAATGACGAGGCGTTAGAGAAACAGAGAGGATGGTGGTCACATTAACAACAGCTTTCTAATATGTTGGAATATCGTACATTTTCCAGTTAGCAGATACCAGATAGTATCAAGCTTTGATATCATTGTGGTCTCCATCTGACCACAGCTACACAAAAATAGAGTTGATCCTAAGCTTAAATATAATTTGCATGTCCTTTAATTCATTCTTACAGCTTTCAAAATAAATGTTTGAAATAACAATTATTTTCACTGATGTAATCTTTGTTGTTATTGTTACCGTTGGTAGTGTTATTGTTGGTTATCCAGTGTTCTTTTGCCTTGAATTTATTTTACATTATGATGTAATGTTAATGTATGGACCCCAGGATGAGTCATTGCTACCTTGACAGTGGCTAATTTTCTCAATGTTCATCAACGGATGGAATATTTCTACATTTAAAGAGGATGGCTCGCTTATACTGTAAATTGATGTGAAAACAAATAAAAAAACAAGCGAGTGGATCGTGAGTTAAGATGTTTCTTAAACTTACATGCTTCACTTTTAAAATAATACTATATGTTATTTTATTATTATGGGTTTCAGTGCCATTGTTCAAAATTCATAGAAGATTGCAGAAAGCATTTCACTTCCAGCTTAACAGTTTCACAAATCAGGGCTTCGGTATTTCATGTTTAACCCTGAGTGTGTTATGTTTTCCTCTCACCTCGTTGGGGGGCTTCGGGGAGTCGTGTTCTTCCTGTGGGGGGCCGTGCTCAGTGTATGGCTCATTGCTAGGAGAGGTCTGCTCGTCGCTGGAGGCAACAGGTCGGTGGTACTGCGTGGTGCCGGTGGGGATGTGCCAGAAATAGATCTCTGATGAGTCTGAGATCTCCCGCCAGCCTGGGGGCAGGTCCCCCTCGCTCCATACATCTGCTAATGGAGAACAACGACACATAACACACATTGAGAGTGCTACACAAACATGTACGTGTGTATGCTCGCACACAGGAGGGCTCTACAGAAACACCTGATTGTGACATACATAAGACTGTACACACACACAGGCAGGGATGAACAGGGTCAGTTTCAGCGATGGTCAGTCTGTCCCTATCTGTTGTCATAGAAACTGTGTGGCTCATCCCCTGTAGTCAGACCAAGTGAGCAACAGCTTCTCTCCCTTCCTCTCTCTGCTGTTTTCCCTCCCGTCTGCCTTCTTATATTACCCTCCATACGCTCATATTCTCAAACTACTGCTTTGTCATCCGTCCTTGGCAATCACCGCTTCCTCAACACAGTTCTGCTATTTTCTCTTCCCATTTTTCACACCCTCTATCTGCGGTATCCTCTCGCTCTGTCCATCCCAATCGCTCTCTGTACCTTAAGGTGGCTCACAGGGGCCTTAAAGGTTACAGCAGTGTTACTGGAGCTACTTGCTTGCTTAAAAACTGGCATTTCCTGTTGTAGGAGGCAGAGGAAGGGAGAGATACATCGAGGGAAAGAAAGTGTGATAAAAGCTGACACAGATCTGCTAATGAAAAATGTAAGATCAAATGACAACAAAAACACACACACACACACATCGTACCTGTCTCCCGTGGAGTCTGAGGAGAGGGCGTCTCCTGGGACAGGGTGGTCCAGCTGGAGTCTTCATCCTCTGAAGGACTTTCAGGAGTCAGATCCATTCTTAAGCCCACTTTAGGGAGCGTAGTCTCTGCTTCAGGGTCTGTCAGGGCAGGGGGCGCCCGGGTCCTGGTGGGGGTGCTCCTCTCTGCAGCCCGGGCCTGCTTCGGGGAGGAAGGCGGGTACTGTTGCAGGAACTGGTTCTCATTGTTGGGGTGCAGCTCAACCTTGATGACCCGAGGCTGGGAGCTCCGAGGGGGCTTTGCAGGACTGCATGGACTGACCTGAACCTGGGCACACAGCTCCTCTCGGACCTGGGCTGGAGCACGGCTCTGGAGGAGGTTGTGGTTGTCTGGGACCCACTCTGGGCTGTCGTTGGAAGAGGAGGACGTGGGGGAGAGAGGAGCTTCCAAAAGCACCGGTAGCAGGGGCGGCCTTGGTGCAGGTGTGGGTTCATCCTCCTCCTCCTCTTCCTCCTCTTCCTCCACCACTGGCACCACCTCTTCCTGGAAGGTCTGCTTGCTGCCGGGCTTCTCCTCCTTCTGGCTCTCCCTCTCCTTGGCAGGGCTGGCCTGTTCCTTCTCTGGGGAAGGCTGCTGCTTGTTCTCTGGGGAAGGCTGCTCCTTCTTCTCCTCGTTGTCCTCTTTGTTTCCCCAACTGTGGTCCAGATCCCAGCCCTTCCCATGATAGTCCAAGAAGCTCTTGGTCCTTCTACGGAACGGGGGCAGCTGTGAATTGTCTTTTCCCGACTCCAGCCAGTCAGAGCTGGGGTTATTGAGGAGATCGTTGTGAATCTTTTCCTCTGTATTGGCCCTGCTCAGCTCCTGCTGCTGACTCTCAGCTCGTCTCTGCATGTTGGCCCCATTCTTGGCCAGTTTGGGGTTGGTTGTATTGAACATCGAGGACGATGAGGAGTAGAGTGCAGAACTGGAGGAGGACTTGGTGGGGAGCCCCCTCCCTCTGGTTACAGGTAGATTTTTAGAGGATAAATTGTCACTTATCCCCATAGCGCTGCGCACACTCGTCATCGTGTGCCTCTGACGGCTCTTTGGCAAGGTGGCCGAACTCCCTGTTTCCATGGACTCCTTGATGACGTCTCGCCCAAGCAACTGGTTGTATGATGAGCGAAGGCTGAGGGAGGTGGGAGGAGCTGAGGAGGGGCCGCTGCGATTGGCCATTCCCACATTAGAGGGGGAGGAGCCAGAGCGGGATAGAGGAGGAGTTTGTACCGACATCATGGCTGACAGGAAATACGCTGAGGTGATAGAGCTGAGGAGAGAAGAGACACACTGTCAGGAGTCATGTTACACATCATGTGCTGCACAATGTTGGTATAAGAGATTATCATATATTTTAATATCATTTTTTTAAATGAACACATATCATTAAACAATAGACTTTGACACAGATCCTTTAAACTATAATTACATTTGTTTTATTAGATTTCTAAAGATGAAGAGATAGGGAAGGAAGTGTTTCTCACTTTAATGAGTCAGTCCGAGTACAGTCACACTTCTCCTTCCTGTGTCTGCAAGCTTCTCTTACGCCTACTTATTTATATGGCTGGCAAATGTTTAGTATACAAACTATTAAAATAACAGTATACTATAATATAATTTAATCAAGGTTAGGTTGATCACTTTGAAATGTAGTCAGTTACTGCATACAAATGACTATTTTTGTAACTAGTAGCATTATCCATTACAAAAAAAGGTTCTAATCCGAATACTTTTGGATTACTTCAACATAAAACAAATATAAATATTGTACCTTTTACTAAAAAGAAAAGCAGTTCCACAAAAAGGATTTTTCTTTTTTTATTATTCTCAATTGTATTATATGTAAATGAATGCATTTTGCATATTCAGCATTTATAGTAGGTCGAGTCAAGTGACCCTTACAAAAACATTACTGGCACAAACTACAGATGCATTTGTGCGGTTTTCTTCATTGCTGCAGTTATTTAATCAAAGGGCACCCTGTGTGTCTATTCAGAGCATTCAACCTTTTGCATAAATTTACATAAACATATAACAAAATGCCATATTTTAAAGACGAAATCAATATGTAATCAAGTAATGGTTGACAATGTAAGTTTGTTGATGTTTTTTTTAATAATATTTGGCCTGATTAATCTCTGGGAGTCTCTGACATCATTGTGTGACATCATCAAGTTGAGCCGTTTAGTGCTGTGTCACTCATTTGCATTTCTCTGATGTAACAACCTACAAAACAGAACAAAAACCGATAAGAGACATCTTGCTCCATATCGCTCTGACTGCAGCTTGGACACTCTCTTTATTGATACATCATAGGGCAGATCATTTTCTGGCTTCACGCACCCTTTAATCATAAGGTGTCACTGTTGAAGAGTCAAACACCCCTGCATCAAAGACATACATCTAGATTGAATTTGCATGATATTGGGAGTGAGTCAGATCCTTGATGTATTCATCCAGGACTGAGGTTGAAAGCCGGGGCTGAGCAGTAAGGCGGTCTGTAAGTGGCAGCCAGCTCCTGCTAACTAGCTAACCGTGTCTCTTTTATCTCTGGGTGGATCAGCCCTGTGATGCTGAACACAGACAGATGGAAAACAACAGAGACAGAAGCAGGCAACCATTGTGATCTTTGTGTGAAGACACGGCACATGTATGGGTTGCATCTGTGTTATTTCTGTTTTGAAATGATCTAATTTGTCTGGGAATTATTTTCCACATCACAACCCTGTGGGAAACTGGTAAACCACTGAACACAGAAACAGATGAAAAACATGCCCAGGCACGCAACACAATGTATAAACATCCTGTCACCCTTACCCTATCATGAACACACACACACACGCCTCATACAATGCTGCAGTCATCATCAGAGCTTTTCTCAGAAACATGGAAAACACAAACACAGCAGATTTTAAAGCACGACAAGAGCACGACAAGATCTTTTGCAGCGTTTTGGAGGCAGCATAATCCTTAGGCGGTGCACTTTGTTCATGCGGGTCCCCTATCCACTCCCCTCTCCCCAGGTGTGTGTCGTGTTGTCACTCTGTCACTGAGCCAGACAACCACAACAACCTGTTAGTGCTGAATATGCACTCACGGTGCAGGCCTCACAAACACGGGGTCAACAGGTACAGTCTCATCAGCTATCTCAATCAGCACGTAAACACCTTGTAACTCCAATGTTTTTGCTACACCCTTAAGAAAGAAAAATCATTCTGTAGGCTCAACATAAGATTCCACGTTTGCCATTATGAAAACCTTTCAAAATAAGATGCCAAAATGCATTCATACCCAAGCAAAAGAGCTGCCAATACAAGTTATCACCTGTCAGTTACTGGCTTAAACCTAAAACCAGTGAGGCTGAAAATCAAATATGATGCATGACTCAGAGGATGGATTACACATCCTGACACATCCCCCAAAACAGATTAGGAGTAATAAGCAAACAACGTATATATATATATTTCAACTTCCCTTTCTTCTATCTTCTTATATTATCATACATCATGTCTGAGTTGCAGACAAACTGGAACATCCTTTTCTTTCCCCCTAGAGAATACAGCCAGATCTCCATTAGTTAAACAAAGTGGGGCGAGAGGATGTGTGGGGAGTGGGGAGGAGAGAGGATGGCCATTAGAGAGGGAGAGCGCGAGGAAAATGACACAGCAGTTTGCCGGACAGTCAACACACAGTGGGATTTAAACCTGTGTCTCTCAATAAATCTGTTGTGCTCTCCAACAACAGAGGTCATTCATGAGATGTCACGGGACAGCTGCTAACTGACTACTTAAAGAATCATTTTGCATCAATAAACTGTGCTCTACTGTTGCTTGAATTACAGTAAATGCATAGTCATATATGAAGGAAAACACGAGACACATCCTCTCCTACAGATGAACTTGCACAATAATTATTTAACTTCCTGACACACAGGACCAAAATCATCTCTATAGGAATAACATCTAAATATGATGCTAATCTGCTCTAACTCTTTACAGTCTGCTCACCTTGTATACAGATTTAAAGACCTGAAGGTCGCCCAAAAACATAAATATCCAAAACACCTCACATCAATAACATGCTTTGGAGATTCATCACATCTAGATACTGACAGATATATTGGCCTGTGAGAAGAAACCATCCTTTATCAACTTACCCTGCAATGGCAGGCCTCTTCCTTCAACTCTGAACTGCACCCACTGCTTCACAAATGAAATGCAACAGATGAAAGCACGAGCTGGGGACAAAATGAACTTGAGAAAGTCGATGATGTCATGGGTGGAGTATTCAAGCCCCTCGTTTCTTGCAGCAACCTAAATAAACTCCCTCACCGATATACCAGAAACAGCGTTATATCATTTTGAAATCCACCATATGCATAGGTGGAGCTGTCATTGAAGCTGTCGATATGAGAACACACGCAGTAAATCTCCAGCAGCACCTTCCCCGCCGCCGCACTGGGAGGGGAGTGCACGCCATCATCGAGATCTCTATTTACATCCACTCACCGCTTCGCTCAGCCTCCGGGTTTCTGCACCTCTGCTCCCGCGACGACACACACACGGTAGAGAGCAGGGCCGAGGTTGTCAGCCGCTTTTAAAGTGCCCGTCCGCCCGTAGCTGCAGCCGGCCGCCCGAATCGCTTCACATCATCTGCCCCCCCATCCGGCTCGGTGCTCTCTGCGCCAGAGGATCCTGGAGCGGCGGAGCGCCCAGCTGACCAATCAGCCGCCAGGACTCGGAGGAGACGCAACCATAATAAATCTACGGGTGTTATTTTGCATTTCAGGTAATGAAATCACACATCATCGGAGTCTTACGTCATACAGTTCTCTGAAGAAATATGAATGGTTTACAGCGATGACCACATCTGCCTCAGCAACACCGTTTTAGTCCTTTCTACTGTTCTCTTTAGGTAAATAATGTACGAGGATTGCTTTTAAGTTGTCATAAAACTAATGATGTTATAGTATAGCCTAATTCAAATCGATGTTGTTGTGAATAGATTACAATATTCTCTGCTCATTTAATTGCTCACCAGTATTACAAAGCTGCAAAAAAAAACAACGCTTTTCAGGGGTATACCTTTTGTTTTACTTTTGTTTGTGTCTATAACAGTACAACATCAGTGCATAATAATTCACTTTGGTATGTTAAACAGGTTTGACCGTCACAAAGCATTTCCTTTTTCTCCTCCGCAGTTGTTCTTCTACGAATATACAGTGGTTTTATTGAAGGTTAACTTATGACATTAGCTTAAAGCACTTTTTCAGTTTCAGAGGTGTCAGCAGCAATACAGTTTACAGACACACTTATAACAAAACTCTTTATGCGATTAAACTTCATAGGGAGAAAAACAAGTAACTCAACCCATTAAAGGCACATTATCACAATTTCTTACTCAGAGAACTTATAATCACAAAAAATGCTGTAGTGTAAGAACAAATATAATAAAAAAGCATCACATTTTCTTTCTACACACAATATGATGAGACCTTGTATCCAACTACTCTTTCAAACGTATAAAACATTGTGAACAATTATTTGAAGTATAAAATCTATTCATACGAGTTCAAAATGTACACACCTCACACACACTGACCTTTCTTCTCTAGTGACAATATATTCACTCTTTAAAATACACTCCTCAGTTTGATTGTGCGGCTCAGTCTAACTATCCTATCCCAACAGTCCACTGGCATGCTCCTCCCTCAGTGCTGCTGGGGTGGGGGTGCAGAGGGCTGCAGGACAGCGCCGGGGGGACACACAGGCTCCCTGTGCTCCAGGAGTGAGGCAGGAGGGGAAGAGTGACGGGGGGAGAGGTGGAGGGAAGGAGTCGACTGGCCAGAGAGAGGAGAGGCTGCTGGATGTGACGCTCAGCTTCAGAGAAACATGGAGCCGAGCGGATGGAGCGCAAAACTGCATCTTCTGCTGCGGAGGAGAGGGAAGATTGCACAGATATCATCACTAACGTCCTGGCTCATTAACAATTTATTTCACGCAGTGTCATCTATAACAAATGCAGAAATGTAAATGACGAATACAAATGTGTGCTTACTCTTTCTGGATGCATCATTAGGAGGTGTCAGTAAGCTCTTCGCCTGCTTGTTGCCTGCCTGAGCAGATCGTCTGTAGTAGTTCATCGCCGTCCTCAGATCCTGCTGCACCCCAAAGCCGCTCTCAAAACACTGACCCAGCAACAGCAGGGCGGTGTCGTCCTGCACACATGAACAAAAGCACACACTGTTTAATGTTCAGGAATAATCTTTTACAATCTGAACTTGCCCTGGTAGATTTCTGCAGAATGTGAAGGAAACTTAATATGTCATGTTATAACCTCCACCAGGAACTTGGTGATAACTTTGTTATTTGTGTAATTGTTGTTGTGTTTGAAAGAAACTGGCACCCTTTCTTCACATTTTATATTGTGTATTTTATGGATACTCTATAGAAATGTATCTTTTTTTGTGCCGACATGTACTGTATATATTTACTGCAGATATTTTATTCCTGTCCAATGCCTGATAACCTGCTGCGAAACAGGAACTTCCCAATTTGGTTTCAATGAAGTACATCCATCTTTCCATCTGTTTATCTATCAAGGCATTATGGAGACAGTAGTATGGAAGATGTCACTATTCAATCAAGCATAGCGTATGACTACACAGTGGGATATTCAGCGTGGCTGTAGCTCTAGATTGACTTGTAGAAACAGAAATGTTGATATCACTTTAACACAACCGCAGCAGAAAGCGTTAGTAGGGGTATTTTACAAATGGTTGGGTACAGAGGGATGGAGTTGAATGTTCATCATAAAACTCTAGAAGCATCTAGAAAGACACTCACTCCGCTCTCTGCTGCCATCTGCAGGAACTGAACAGACCTGCTCCCGTCTCTCACCGGCTCCTGAGAGTAGACCGAGGCGAGGCAGACCTGAGCCTGAGGGGGGGAGAAACAGAGAGTAGATTCACTTCTGTAGTGATACGGCATCTAGCATCCGTAATAATCCAGTAATGGCTGATTTGTTAACACCCCAGATACTCATGGTTACAGCAAATGTGGACTCTGACGATGTGGGTCAGCAAAAACAAACTCTATTGAAATTATTGTAGTTTTACAACAATGTATGTTATTTCTATTATAATGTCCCATTTAGCCATGACAGCGTGACAGCGGACCAACATGTACTATACATGGACGCTAAAACTGAAGCTGCTAAATCAGTGTTTCCCGGCGGGATGAGGGCGGTCCGATGATGGGCGATCCGGGGAAGGGGGGGGGTTAAGTTACTTTGGTTTGAGAAGTGGGGGGGAAACAAAACAGGGTCTCTGTGGGCCCTCCACAATGGAAATAGTTCTCGATTTGAATCCCTTTGCCTGCCTTTCTAACTAAATATTTGTTAGGACTGGTGCAATCCAAGAAAAATGTGTAGTGTATAATGCTTGGCAAACGTATCTAGTATCCTCTCCATGTGAACCTGCTTTATTTGTGAGTGGACCTCACATACTCTAGGGGGGTCCGGGGGCATGCTCCCCCGGGAAGAGTTTGTTTTAAATGTTGAAGTTAAATGGATCAATCTGGTGCACTTTGAGCACGAGATGAAGAGATTTATGGATACAGCTCTCAACACTCATGAAACAGAACTGTATATATTTCAATAATCCAAACATCTTTAGAATATGATCACAACAAATAACAAATTAATTTAACTTCTTTACTCCTCTCTCTTATCTTATCTTACCGAGTTAGCATACTTTCTTTTTATTTATGCACATTTTCCTAATCTCTCCCCTTTTAAACAGTATTTTTTTTACTGTCCTATAGTACACATTGGAATGAAGTATTACTTTATTTTTTACAACTATATTAAATAGATAAAGGTGTGCATTGTAAATATTGTTTACATAGATGACCAAACAATTTGAGACTCACTGAGATAACTTAGACTAAATGTAACTATCCTATCACTCAGTGTCCTTTACCTCACAGAGCTGTAGTTACCAGCCTCTCAGTCTGACAGGAGAGAGCTCTCCCTCCAGCTTGTTGTAGAAACAGTTTCTAATATCCGTTAGCTCTGAGCTAGCACCAGATGCTAATAACAACAATCGCTTGTTCACACAACATGTGCTCGTGCCACACACACACAGAGGCTGTGTGCTCCTCCGTGACGATGACGGCTTGACGTTAAAAAATCATAATAATTGAATTTGAACAGTGGGGGGGACACAAACTGGATTTTGAACAGGGGGGTGGACATGTGGAAATTACACCCAGGACTTACATGACCAACAGCAGAGCTCCGGGCTATAATGCAGATTTGTTTTACTTTTTTACACTTTGTTGTTCTCCTCCTTTCCTCTGCTCTTGTCTCTGACTGCGAGTGTGTGAGTGTGTGACGGTGTGTGTGTGTGTTTGTGTGTGTGTGTGTGTGTGGGAAGCAGAGCCCCGCCCTTCGGAAACAGAGCGGAGGAGAGACTGTGATATACCTGTCCTCATCCTACTGTGACACATTAGATTTTTTTATAATTCGAGGTTTTAAAAGAAAATCTTCCATTACTGAACAATAATGTGGAAAGCCATGTTGCAAACTAATATTTTAAGTGTTGTTTAACAGTAAGTTAATATACTACAGTTGCAAAGGTATTATATGAGGAATCATTTTAATTGATAGTTTAAAGATGTTACGATTTCTTACCTTGGTGAGTCCCGCAGCAGCAGCTTGTTCCAGTAAGTTGATGGCTGTGTTCAGCTGCTCTAAACTCTGCTGCCCCCTGCTGGTCAGGAGCAGCTTTGCATATCGGTACTGAGCCTGTCTGTGGCCCCCAGCTGCTGCCTGCCAGTAGTAATACAGAGCCTGGAGGAGAAAAGACACAAGCATCATATCAAGACTGATTCCTCAGACAGGACAGGAGTATTTGTGACGGCTTTCAGAAATGTTCTGGATGTCTGTGGTCTTACCTTCTGTTTGTCTTTTTCGACTCCTCTGCCTTTCTCGTAGCACACACCTGTGTTGAACTGGGCCTTGCTGTAACCCTGCTGAGCTGCAGCTAGGAAACATGTAAAAGCTTCCTCGTAGTTCTTACTATTGGCATTTTCTAGACCTGCAATACACAGACACAAGAAGATATCAGATATGGACAGAGGAAAACAAATGCAGATTATTTTTTCCCCACCAGTGTAGTGTAACATGTTATGTGGAGTAGAAATGAATGTGTGAATATGACATGGTGTCAATAAATCATTACCAATGACGTTGAGGATGACAGGAATGCTGGTTTCTCCCACATGTCTGAGATTCAGTGCTGCTCCTGCCAGCCTCTCCTCAGCAGACAACATGTCCTGAAAACACAGAGGAGGTTAGAAAAGAGCAAGTAGCAAGTTAATGACAACTTAGGAAGAAGAAATAAATGCTGCTTATTTATTATTAACTTCACAGCCGCTAAAGGAGATAGACTTTCACCTTGTCGTTAGCATCTTGTGTCTCCGTGTGGTCGTCATTCTGCAGAGGACAGGATGCTGACAGAAGTGATTCCTCTGTGAGTCAGGAAAGACAAAGTATTACTTTTCTTGAACAAGATACTAGGGTAACACCAATTTGAGAAAAATACTATGTTCAAACAATCTTTCCACACTGTCAGACAACAGAACAAACCGGGTGCAGGAGAATCCTGGCTCAGGAGCGCCCTCTGTGGGTCAGAGAGGGAGCAGTCAGTGGGCAGATGCTCCTGCTCACTGCTGCTGTAGGGACTGGCCTCCTCTGAAATGCTGCTGCT